ATATTTTGAAAGAAGAACTGTGCTCGATGACCTTTGGTGCTATGCGATAGTGTGGTGCTCTAATGTGTTTCCTCAGGTTGTTGTAAATTATTAATTTATGTTTCATATTTAGTACAGTGCAGTGCATTGTATTAAATATATTTAACCAGAGGAGTTTTGTTCGTAAAAAGGAAATTATTTTTTATAATTGTTAATACACTTGAAACATTTTTACCTTTTTTATTACAACAGATTCAACATTAAGATTTGTTGTAACTTGACTATTTTTCAAAAAGCAGAAAACAAAAGGCACATTCTCAACTAGTAGCTTTAAATATACAATCCGTAACTACCCTTCCCTTCCACTTTAGCAAATATTACTGGAATTATTTAGTCGATAAAACATTTGATAGAGTTCTCTTATTAACTTATATTAAGAGGGTTAGTGTAATTGCAAAGATGTAGAGTGTAATGTAGTGTGCTCTCCAGTGACTATTTGCACTGTAGTTGGTCACTACGGAGATTATTACGTGTCCATCATATTCATCAAAAGAGCACTATGATTGTACTTAAGGTAAATCACTCTGCTATGATCTTATGAAAGGGAGTCATTGGAACTTTTAACATAATTTACTGCACGATGAATCAGCTGAGTTGCATTTTGAGGAATACACGCCATAATAGGTTACTGCACACTACAAGTAAATAAATAATACTGTTTTTGTTATTTGGGGTTTATTTGCTAAACAGTGATTCTGGCGACAAATATATAAAGGCAAAATTTAGGTCAAGTAACAATTACATGAGATTTGTGTTAAATGTTTTTTTATTTCGTATGCAAATTTATAGCAGACATAAAACAGGTTTAAACAATTAATGCACCGTTGCCTACGCAGAGGCTCCGTATGTCCAGCAAAGGTAAGCATACAGGAGCCTACACAGAAGCTAAAGAAGGCATTACTCTGAAATATAATAAATCCCTACATAGTGAGCATGCAAGATCAGAGTTGCTTACAAGAAAGGCATATTACTTGGGAAAACACAGATAACTATATGAAAGTCAAATTTGTAACGTGCAGGAGATATGTATTATGGATTAAAAAAAAAATAGGAAAAAGCATAGTTGCTATGAATAGGCATATATAGGCATAATCTCTTTAGAGGATTACCGAAAGAAGTGATGAAGCGTTCAGGAGTATCGCTTCGGTCAGGGGTACTACTCTGCTTATGTTAGCCTGGGGGATGCAATTAACGGCTTAGCTGTACAACCTGGCACTTCACTTGTCGGGTTTAATCGTCATGATACCAATGGATAGTAGCACCCGGAACATTCGTGGTTAAAACAATACAGGTACGCTCTTGTGGTAGAAAGCGTGGGTTTATGTCCCTACCGGTAGGATAGTGACTAAACTATACTATAAGTGGTAGAAAATAATATATGTACATGGATACTTATCATCCCAACGTTACGGTACCAATGGGTAGTGTCAACTGAAACGTTCGTATTTGGTACAATGCAGGCAAGCTCCTGTAGTAGAAAGTGTGGGATTGAGTCATTACTAGTAGGGTAGAAACGAAACTGTACTATAAATTTCAGAAAGCAATACACACACATGGGCACTTATCCTGGGTCAACTCCCTCTCCGAAGAGGGACCGGAAAAGTGGGGTTGCGTGACGGTTATTACATGAGATTTGGCTCTGAAACACTGTAGCTCTGCCATCCTTCTGCTAAGGAAAGAGACCTATTCTATATTCTAGGAAAAGCTAGAATCAAAATAGAGACTCATTGTGTTTTAGAAAGTCAAAATGAATGGCTTTTCAAACGGCAAAAGTATAAATATGTTAAAACCTGTTTTGTTTTCTGCACAAGCAAAACTGTACAACTATCTTCAAATTCAGTTTATAAGAAATATATGAAAGTTTCCTCTGTATGTGAAGAAGGAATTTGACAGGCTTAAAGGAGCACTTTAATCAATATAACCACTACAGCTCATCGTAGTGGTTTAGATGCAAGGAGTGTTGTGTTATTTCCTTGATTTGTGTCCCTCAGTTTGAGTGGTTTGACAAAAATGGGGGCCCACCCATCACTAAATGCGCTCTAGTGTGCCTTGGCTAATGTTGAACTGAATCAATTAAATCTCAGGCAGCTTCAGGACACACACATTGATCAGTCACAGCATTAAAGCTACTGACAGGTGAAGTGATAAACATTGATTTTATTGTTAAAATGGCACCTGTTAAGGGGTGTGATATATTAGGCAGCAAGTGAACAGTCAGTTCTTGAATTTCATGTGTTGGAAGCAGGAAAAATGAGCAAGTGAGAAGATCTGAGTGACAAGGGCCAAATAGCGATAGCTAGATGACTGAGTCAGAGCATCTCCAAAACAGCAAGTCTTGTGGGGTTTTCCAGGTGTGCAGTGCTTAGTACCTACCAAAAGTGGTGCAAGGAAAGATAACTGTTAAACCGGCATCAGGTTCATGGGCACCCAAGGCTCATTGATGTAAGTGGGGAGCGAAGGCTAGCCTGTCTGGTCCAATCACACAAAAGAGTTATTGTAGCTGAAATTGCTGAAAAACTTAATGTTGGCCATGACAGAAAGGTGTCAGAACACACAGTACATGCCAGTTTGCTGCATATGGGGCAGCAAAGCTTCAGACCGGTCATAGTGCCCAGGATGTCTCCTGTCCACCACTAAAAGCACTGTGGTGACGTAAACGTCAGAACTGGACCATGGAGGAATGTTGCAGGGTCTGATGAATCACGTTTTCTTTTAGATCGGGTGGATAGCCGCGTGCGTGTGCATAGTTTACCTGGGTAAGAGATGGCAGCTGGATGCACTATGGGAAGAAGGCAGACGAGCAGGGGCAGTGTTATGCTGCTGGGAAACTTTGGGTTCTGGCATTCATGTGGATGTTACTTTGGCACATACCACCTAGCTAGAGATTGTTGCACATCACGTACACCCCTTCACAGTGTGGTAGGGTGCATTATCCTGCTGAAAGAGGCAGTGAGCTCTTTTAGCAGGATAATGCACACTTCAAAAATTGTTCATGTCTGGTTTGAGGAACGACAAAACATTCTAGGGGTTGCCTTGGCCTCTCAATTCGCCAGTTCTCAATCCGATTGAGTATCTCTGGGATGTGCTGGAATATCAAATCTGATTAAGGGAGCCCCATTTTGCAGGACTTAAAGAATATATTTGTACAGCTACCACAGGACATGTTCAGAGGTCTTGTGGAGTCTATGACTCAATGCATCAGATCTGTTTTTGCAGCAAGAGGGGGACCTACACAATATTTAAATGTTGTGGCTGATCAATGTATGCTTTTGTGAACCACAGTTTTAACTATGGTGTCTACTTTACATACATATTTCAGGTTAAAAAGGCAATGTGAATCAGCCTACTCAGGTGCCTCTATCATGCAAGATTCATCCTTAAGAATATCAGTGCAGCGAAGTATATTTTGTCTTATAAAAGATTGAGGTTAAAAGTGCACACTTGCCCTTTACGTTTGTTTTGCTGCAATTACTATTGATTTCTGCAGCTTAAATTGACATTTTAGTCACCAGAACCACTACAACTTAATGTCTATAACTTGTCCCTGAAGCCTTTTCAAATAAAAGCTCACCATAGAGATGCACTGATTCAATACATCTCTATGAGGAGATGCTGATTGGTGCAGCATTTTGCTGCACGTGCACAGTAGCCTTCCAATGATTTCCTGTGGGAAAACATTAGATTGGCTGAGATTATCAAGATTGAGGCGGAGCCAGGCCACGGCGAGACCGGTGCGGTGTAGGAGAAAAGGCGAGTAAAATAACCTTTTCAGCATGATCGGAGCTGGGCCGGTCACCTAAAATGCCACATCAGGACTATAGTGTCAGGAATACATGTTTGTTTTCCTTTAATACACTACCTTATTGCAGCTTCTTCACGTTACGTACTATTGATACTGTGTGAAATATATTGCAAATCAATACACAGTTACATGTCTTTATCTAATATGTCAACATGTCAATAGTGGAAAAATTATCATCTCTGGCTTTCCCCCCAAATGGCTTCTCATAATGGCATCAAACTGTGAATGGTTAAAGGAGCTGATGACAGCAGAGATTATTAAAATATACACCTTTCTACAAAGAATTTTATGTATATGTTATTTATTATAAAATAAAGGCAAGGCAGTTGCTAGTGAAATATATGGCAGTGAGCAATATATTGCATGATGTGATCTATAACCTTATTAGAATACCCAGTTTGCATTCCACAACAGCAAGACTTTAGTCGTACGCCTCTTTTTTAGCTCACAGTGGTAGTTCGTGTTTATCATACCGAACGATATTGGAGACTTTGAGATCTCTCCTTCCTCTTTTCAGGGATCAATGCACTGAAAAGAGGCCAGGCAATTGGCTGTCAAACCCAGAGTCTCCAGGGAATATCCGGCAAAGTCGCAGGTATGGCGGCTATTAGACTAAAATTATAATTATCTCATCAGTACTGTATCCAGAAATAATTAGCCGTTGCGAACAAGCACAGGAATGCTAGTGGGAAATACTCACAGGTTTATATATATATATATATATATATATATATATATATATATTTATTATGTTAAAAAAAAAAAGATCTGTTATGCTTATTTAATGCCGCATTTCTGACAGCTGGAATACCATTAGTCTTGTAGCTCAGTACAAACAGCTATTAAAATACGTAATCAAATGTATCTGCTTTATGTACCATGAATGAATTATGTCCTTATTTTGTATGCATATACTAGACATTTCTTGACAAATACATTGTACTACCAGCAGATGTGCAGAACACACCAGTTCATACTGTTTCCTGCGTAGAAACTGGTGAAAAAGTTCTAGCAAAATTTTTATATAGTGAAAAAAACTATGCAAGCAATAAACTATAGTTCAAAGAAATGTGCAGGTGTGTGGGTTTTTTTTGTTTGTTTTTTGTCGCTCTTAACAGATTTACACTGTCTATTTGCTTTAAGAATCTGCCGTAACCTAACACAATACACTTCTCTAAAAATAAAAACCACATAAATCCATTCAAGCACAACATTAGTCCCCTTGCTTTTTAAATCATGTGACAAAAACAGAGCATTCCCCTTCAGCCAAAGCTCCTGCTTGGGATGTGATAATGATGTTTCACTTCGTCATTATTCATCAAGAATACGAGTTAAGCTAGATTCAGTCTGTGTCAGTCCTGCTTATTTTAGATCAGTGGTGGTTGGTAACTTTTTAATACGGTGGGGTGTTAATTCCCACCACTGGAATTTTGGCCAGTTCATACATCTGTGTAAACTTGCCCCTGTGCACTTAATATATTACTGACATGTTTTTTAGTTGTACTCTTCCTTAAACAAATTGAATCTTGGAAAACTATATGGGTCCCCTGTAAACAGCCCCCCTCTCCCTCTTACACATTTTGTCAGTGAAACAACAAACATGGAGATCAGGAGATGTACTTACCAGACTATTCCTGGTGCCTCTTCCGAATTGCAGCAGCTGATGTATGAATGAACACTTGCTTGAAATGGGTAATAAAAGTCACCAAGACCCTCTTTTCAGAAGATGCTCACACAATGTCAGGACACACAACTGGTTTTGTTGTCCATTTTGACCAAGATGTCAAAAGAGTAGTTGTTAATGGTTAAAAAAAAACCACACACATAATAAATAAAATGAAAAAATTGTAACAAGGCTTTTCTATCATTTTTTTTTTTTTTGTATGATGTTAATATGAAACTGCATTTATTTTAAGAAGTGATATCTATTCACCTGCACATAAAATCTTCTAATAAATGGATTGTGCAGCAAACTCCTTTGCCAGTAATTAACTGTGGGATAGAGTACCTGAGTTAACATTACAAATCCATAGCCACTATCTCAATCTAGAATGCATTATGCCACCCTGTTCTCCAGTGTAACTACAATATCCACCAAATGAAGAGGATTAAACTATAATTTCAGATGTAGCACTCGCCTTGTAAATAACCACAATTCTTCTAACCACAACTGAGCAGTAAGCTCATTTATAGGTGTACCTATCTTTCTGCAGTTTACTTACTATTTTACCAACTTGCTAAAAGTAATAGGTATCACTGCTCAACTGTGGAATTTAAAAAAAGTCTAAATTTTTAAAATTAAATTAAAATTAAAATGCAAGTTGGTAAACCATTGGTAATGTTACACCAAGCTATCCTGCCTCTGCTTCTCCACTACCTTATTTATTAATTTGCCAGATCCCCAAAAATGCTTTTGCTATACGCCTGCCACCTGCTCAGATCTAGGATTGTACCTGTCTGTGCATACAAGGATTACAAGTTTCCATAACCTATGCAGTCTGACTCATATTCTAATGGAAAAGCCATGAAACTGTCAGGATTAACAATTGATCTGAACTGTATCACACCTAGGACTGAAAGGAAACATCTTACCGGGCCTTAGAATGGCCGGACTTAACGTACCAAAGAATAGTCAGAATACTTGCCGAGGTCGGGGACACAGAATGGGACACAACGATGAAGGAAAGCCAAAGGTCAGGGATACCAGAATACAGGGAAGTCAAAACGAAGCCAAAGTCAATAACCAGATATAAACGTTTAGGACACACTCTCGGACAACCACTAAGGGAAACCACGACAGGGCAATAAGGAGAAGTAAAAATATGTTTAAATAAGCCCTTTACAAATCTGATTGGCCGAAATCGTCCTTTGACCCGTGTCTCCCGCATGCCGTCGTCATCACCGTGGGCAGACGTGGGGCTAGAATTTGGCGTGGATCTGCAGAGGCCAGTGTCCGTCAACATGTTGCAGGAGTCAGGTACACTGACGCATGGCCACTGAGCGCAGATAATGCAAGGTGAGGATGAATATGTTACAGAAACACTTCAATTAATGAGACACTATAGTCACCAGAACCACTACAGCTTAATTTAGCTGATCTGGTGTCTATATCCTGTCACTGCAGGCTGAGCACTGTAAACACAGCCTTTTCAGAGAAAGGATCTGTGTGCAGTACTGACATTCAGAGTCACCGAACGTTCCCCCCATAGCAATGTATCTCTATGAGGAGATGCGGATTGACACAGCGTTTTGCCTTGCATGCGTGATAGTCTCCCAATGCTTTTTTATAGGCATGGAGGCAGGGCCAGGGAAACCACCACAGCATGGGAGAAAAGGTGAGTTTAAACAACTTAAGTAGGAATACATTATTTTTCACACTATAGTGTTCCTTTAAGGACAATTAAAAACCCTAACAAGCTAATTATTAAGGTAAGCAAGGTGATAAAAACTTACATGGCAGCAGCATTTCTTTTATATAAATCTACATGTCCCACAAAGCCTTGGAATATGCTCAAATAAATATTCACTCAAAATAATGGGAGGACCAGGATTAAAAGGGAAAGTATAGTGATTCTGGAAGTCTTCGTGCATAGCGTGAGGACGTCCAGCATCAGTTGGTGACCAAAAGTCGCCCAGCAATTCAGAAGTCCCTCTAGTGTCTGTATGATAGACAGCCACTAGAGGTGGAGATAACCCATAGAGCTAATTATTGCAGTCTATAAAAAAAAATGCAATATTACCTTTGCTGGGTTAAGGGGTAGGGACACTGCACCCAGACCACTTCAATGAGCTGAAGTAGTCTGGGTGCATATAGTGTCCCTTTAACCAGCCACTTCCTGAACTAGTTATTGCTCACTACAGAGCTACATTCCTGAGGAGCTGCAGTTGGCATGACAAATGTACTTTTTAATCACTTTTGAATTGTATGCATTAAAACAGATTTATACAAGGACATAATTTTCTTATAGTGGATGGGTGTTTCTTTAAGGTAAGAGGTGATACCCTTCTCCACCCCCCTCATAACACAGATCTAAGAAACTGTTAGAGTTATCCTATAACCTGAGAAGTGTTGTTATTTCAAAGTGAATCCTTGCAGCATAACATATAAAATAAACATTAGTTGCTACGGTGCTTGGAATGTCCCTTTTAGAGCACAACGGGCATCTTAATAAAATAAATATTTACGCATTATGTTCCGAAACAATGAACATGATACTTACAGAATGTACAGTAAAATATTGTAGATACAATCTAACAAAAGCAATGTTTGATCCAAATTAACAATAAGATGGTTGATGTAGAATGACTCAAATAAAATATTTATACCCAAGATTGTTGATAGATTTCTTGTTTACCATGATGCTTAGATGACTGTACCTCGCTGTTCTGTTTGATACATAAATACACTAAATAAACAGTCATAGTTCAGTCTCAATGGCATAAAACTACATGTTTTAGTCACAGAGATAAAATGAATGTACCTTTCTTTCGGCAAATGATCTGAAACCAGCATGGACGTTCTAAATTGAATTACAGAGCCTGCATATAACAATGTTACCTTTGTCAATTCACAAAACAGGATGAGATACCAATAAACGTAATCATCGTTGATATAACACAATCCCAATATACATCACATATGCGCTCTTAATAAAAAATAAAAAAAAAGCAATTCTATTTATTTTCTCCTCCTAAAATAAATGGGCAGCTTATTTATTGTGTACTTACATTAAATTTTTTAGCACATAAATACTGCTCTGTTTCCCCACTGTGTACAGTATGAATAGCCTACATTCTGGCTATCTTTATGTCCAAAAAGCGCCAGCGAAAGAAACAATAAACCTCAATATGGAAACAAAAACTCTGCTTCAAATCTTTACAGATTCCTGATAGTTACAGGGCTGCAACTCCCATGGATGCAGGAAATAGTAACAGGTTTTATTTATTAAGCTATCCTTACAGGTAAATACGCAATTCAATAAAATGGCAAGTTATTTAAGGAGGAGAAATTGTTGGCCTTAGTCCCCACAGCATACCTGCAAAATGTCCTGCCCCAGGACTACAGAAACTGCTGATAGAATTGTTAACAGCATACACGTGATTAAGTGACTCAAACTACATGGTGTTCAAGCAGCTTAAAAAGTTGCCGGTAAATATTAATTTTCTTCTGTCATGGAGGCCATCTTAAAGGGATACTATAGTCACCTAAACAACTTTAGCTTAATGAAGCAGTTTTAGTGTATAGATCATGCTTCTCAGGCTTCACTTCTCAATTCACTGCCATTTAGGAGTTAAATCACTTTGTTTCTGTTTATGCAGCCCTTGTCACACCTCCCCTTGCTCTGATTGACAGAACCTGCATGAAAAAAAACAACTTTCAATCAGATGTAATTTACCTTAAACAATTGTATCTCCCCAGGCATATCACCATTATACCCATTGGCACATAACCTGGATATTCTGGGTGGCAAAGGGGCTCCAACTCTAGTGAAATTATTGGGGAACCCAGACCTGCAACTTAGGGATATGCCGACGATAGACACACCTCCAAAAGTCATAAACCTACAGGGACCTGGAGGACACCACTCACTCACAGAGGCACTGAGGTGCTCACAACTAAAGCACTCTTTGACTCGGAATGTACTTCCACATTGGACCCCTAGGGGACTAACTCCTTTTGAAAAAATATGTATGGCCACATGTACACACAAACGCATACTCTCAAATATACAAAATGCTCCAAGCACCCCACGAGGAATAAAAAAACACTAGCCTATCAGCAGAAGTGGATGAAGGAGCTCTGCATCCATATGACATCCCAAGAATGGGAATACATTTTTACAAAACCCATGTTAGCCTTTATCAGCCTGTCCAGACGAGAATCCTTTTACAAACGCATTACACGTTGGTACAGAACACCAGACCTGCTTCACCTATTTTGGCCAACAGTTGGCGACAAGTGTTGGAGGTGTGAAGGAGAGGTAGGCAGTATAGAACATATATGGAGGACGTGCCCAGAAATAAAAGGGTACTGGAACGAGATAATTGCAAAGATCAACGATATTCTAGAGCTACCACACTCCCTAATCCCCTCCCAGGTCTTATTAGGATGGCCCCAGACCTTCCAGAATAAGGAAAAACATAATATGGCTATTATTAGGAGAGGCAAACAACCTCATACCAGTATATTGGAATAACACCACAACCCCCACAGTGACCCAGTGGATAGAGAGAGTAGAGCAAACAAGAGAAATGGAAATCCTCCACTGGTCCACACTGGGCAAACGCAACAGGTAGCTGAGCACCTGGGAACCCTGGATACAGTACTGGACACAAACAGAATCAACCATAACCAACCAAAATATGAACGTAGAGTATACACTGCACCATACACCCCAACAATCACCTTCCACCCCTCCCGCACCCGCTCCCCGGACCCAACCATCGAACCCCACACAACTGGGATAACTGGACAACTTCCTCGATATAGAAAATGGGAAATATGGACAAATCCTTCGCTGTATTGTACCATGTCTGATGTAGTGACACACTTGACACATCACTCTGTTGTGTGTAAACGCTATGAAACTTGTATCCCCTGATCAAGATTCCCCCCTTTTTTCCTTTCTGCATATATGATATACCAATAAAATTGAAATGAAACAAAAAAAACAATTGTATCTCTTTCTCTGTAAATTGAACTGTAATCACATACAGGAGGCTCTTGCAGGGTCTAGCAAGCTATTAACGTAGCAGGGGATAAAAAAAAAATCTAAATTAAACAAAACTTGCAATAAAGGAAGGATAAACTTTAGATGAATCTTTACAGGAAGTGTTTAGGAAGGCTGTGCAAGTCACATGCAGGGAGGTGTGACTAGAGCTGCATAAACAAAGTGATTTAACTCCTCAATGGCAGAGAATTGAGCAGTGAGACTGCAGGGACATGATCTATACGCCATATTCTGGGTGGCAAAGGGGCACCAACTCTAGTGAAATTATTGGGGAACCCAGACCCACAACTTAGGGCTATGCTGACAACCTCCCAAAGTCATAAACCTACAGGGACCTGGAGGACACCACTCACTCACAGAGTTACTGGGGTACTCACAACTAAAGCACTCTTTGACTCGGAATGTACTTCCACATTGGACCCCTAGGGGACTAACTCCCTTTGAAAAAGTTAAGCTAAAGTTGTTTTGGTGACTATAGTGTCCCTTTAATGTAGGAGTTCTGGTGTCTATAGCCTGTCTCTGCAGGCTTTCTAATGTAAGCAATGTCTTTTCAAAGAAAAGGCAGTGTTTACATTGCTGGCTAGTTACACCTCTAGTGGCAGTCACTCAGACGGCCACTAGACGTGCTTCTAGTGCAGCACTAACATTCAGCGTATACACGCTCTGCATGGAGACGCTGAAAGCTCCTGATTGAGATGCACTGAAACAATGCATCTCTATGAGGAGATGCTGATTGCTGCAGTGTGGCATTTTGCCACCCATGTGGTAGCATCCCAATGCTTTCCTATGAGAAAGCATTAGTTTGGCTGAGATCATCACAATTGATGATCTCAGCCATGGAGGTGGGGCCAGCTCCTGCGAGATGGGTAAAAAAAGATAAGTAAAAACAGCTTTCCCATAAGATACAAGGGAAATAAATCGTTCAACCATGTAGAGAAAAAGAACACGTAATAAGCTGCTTAGTCATCTCTCACACCTGAAATAGACTGCTGCACTATGGTGCTGTAATCAATGAGGAAACTCGGGGCTCTTAGTGTTGGCAATGACAAGGAACCAAACACAATCTATATAGAACCCAATAGCTGAATAGGACCTCGAAATGGTCCATATTGAATAATAAAATATCTGACAGGGATCCACAAAACAGCAGTGGGTCTAGTTGCACTCCTTTTTACTAGGCCTTACACAACCCCTGTACATGGTTAGATGTAGGGTGACAAAAATTGGGCATCGGCTTGTTGTAGAATTATAGAATTCTTGAAATTATCTAAGCTAATGCTTTGGCAGGAAGAAATGTGCTGAATAATAAAATGTGTATTTACTAAAAGAACCTTGAAGCTAACAATACTAACTACTCAAAATGGCTGCCAAAGCACCCCTCCCATCGAGTGAACACCTCGTGCTAACAAGATGGCGCCTACATCTTGTGTCCACTCCCGTGTCAAGGATGACATCACCTCTTGATGGGATGGCATCTAACTAACCACTTAACACCTGGACCAATCAATAGTGTTTATTTGCTGTTATCTTGAATTCTTCAGTGATGTAAAAATGCCTTTATAAGGGTCTGCGCACCCATTTTCTGTTAGAAGCCATTAAACTTCTCCGAAGTTCTTTCATTAACCTGAACTCTGTGTCTCAGTGTGAATTTACTTCTGCGTGCACGCAACTTTATTATCTTTAATTTGGACAGGAACAGATAGTCATTCAAACTAATTGGTTTGCAGAAAATAATCTACTACAGGCTCAACAACTGGGATCTATGCCTTCACTAGATGGTCCCCAGTAGATTACAAGGGAAATCTACATGTTACTTTGTTTATTAGACTCACCCATAAGAACTGCCCCCATCTGCCACTGCCCATTACTATAAGCCTTTTCCTACCTAGACCTTATCTTATCTTAAGATTTTTTTAATTAGTTTGGTTTTTTTTAAATGCAAACTGAGAATTTTAGACACTTCGAGCTATAACAATAAAAATTCAGTTTGTTTTTTCATTGTAATTAATTGCATTTCCTTGGATTTTAAATTTTTTTTTTTTTTTTTTTTTAGAAGGCTGCTTGGTAGAATCAGTGTAGGCATAAAAGCTATTAAACCATGGTATTAAAAGAAAAAATATTAATATTTACTGTCAAGTTACTATATAACTAACCATAAATGTCCGTTGAAGTCTGTATGCCATGGTTTTAAATACCAGTTGACACCCAAATTAGTACATCAATATCAAGTTATTACCCCGGTACAAAAAACATTTACTGCATGTATACAATGTAAAGAAGTACCTTGGACAGCATGATCTCCATCCTCCGCTGGACAGCTGATCCTGCTTCCTTAACTGGCACTTCTGTCAAAGTGTTGGCATAGTCAAGCTGCCTGTGACCAATTTCCTGTGTCCAAAACTCATCTTGCTCAGCAGATCCATGCCGAAACCCACTCTCCATTGAATGGAAATATGAATATAAGTGATAAACAGCCTCTTCTTGATGATCTGTGCAACTTCAACAGCATCAAGAGTTCATAGGCCTAGATTTCTTGCTGGAACACAACCTCTACAGCTGCACACTTGTGGTAGAACATTTTAATTCTCTGAAGCTCAATGGCCATCTAAAGTTGACACCGGTATCCTCAGATGTTTAAAAACGACAGCTTCCATGATGCTTTAACATTCTAAAGTCATGAAAAGCATCATGGGAGCTGTAGTTTTACAACATCTGGGGATCTATCCCTTCACTAGAAAACATGCTGGTGGCCCCAGACCAAAATATATTTACTAAACATTTCTAAAATAATTGTGTTAAAAAACAAAAATATATTAGAAAAAAAAAAACCTTTATGGGATCTGTTACTTGAACATAAATAATGAGCGCAGAACAAACAATACAAATTGCATTTTAAAATAAATCAATCATGGTAACTGGCGACCACTCGCCGGACCACAGATAATATGACCTCCCCAAAATAGACAACTTCCCCCATGCCACAGCAACCTCGACTCTAACAAATAGGGAGCCAGCCAGTCTGACGTCATGCAAACGGATCATAAAACAAATGGATTATAAAACAAATAGTGATTATTGTCCATTTAATGGGTTACTGATGTTCAGTCCATTGGCAAATTTCTCACAGTATGCCTTGAGAACACTGGCGATGTACATTTTCCAACATAAAATCCATGCAAAGATCTGCTGAAAATCAATATATATATATATATAAACAAAAATAGATATCTTGGCACTCACCCATCAATAAGTTTTGGCCTGGGTGCAAACCCACGCTGTAACAATATACAAGAAAATAAATGAAGAGATGAACTCTCAGGACTTTACAATGAAAAAATTAGGATTTATTCCAATAGGTATTACCTATTCGGGTCTTTCTCAAGGTCAATGTACCCATATACAAAAGTTATATATATATGTATATATATAAGAAATATACAAATATACTCACCAGTAGTGAAAAAAACCCTGATTCCCTTCGTGTCTTCTCAGAAGTGACACGGCTTTATTATTTGCATCATATTTATCACACATCACCAATGTTCGATTCACATTTTCTCACATTCCACATCATGCACATTCTTCATTGAGGATTTATGTCCTCTCTTTACCACTTTTCGTCCTTATCATATAATCACACTGTGCATCCAACACGGAATTGAACAACGATCTCTTAAACTACATTTGTTTATTGGTATCCTAGCAACGACTTACACATCATCATGTTTTCATTGCAGCATGTCACGTGATTGCGGGTTTCACTTCCGGGCAGACACGAAGGGAATCAGGGTTTTTTTCACTACTGGTGAGTACATTTGTATATTTCTTATATATATAACTTTTGTATATGGGTACATTGACCTTGAGAAAGACCCGAACGGGTCGAAACGTCGGTTATTTTTTCGATGTAATACCTATTGGAATAAATCCTCATTTTTTCATTGTAAAGTCCTGAGAGTGCATCTCTTCATTTATTTTCATATATATATTTAATTTTTTTCTTCTACTTAAATACTGGTCTAAAGAAAGTAATTGAAATAATTAAGTGCAGAGTGCTTTTCATCCAAGATAATGTCCAATTGCCTTTGAAGTTGAGCATGATTAGTTCAATTTGGAGCTACTGGAATTGTGGCATTGGCTTCCTCTAAATCAATAAGTATTGGACTACAAACTGAAATTCCTGTGTCTTCTAATCTGCTTAACAATAGTCAATTAAGAATATAGAGTGCAAGAAGCGATAGTTATAATGAAACAAAAAAGAAATTCATGGTTGCTGGGATCACTGTGTAGTCAATGCATGGAGATCGATACGTGCAAGTTCCTAAGGATGTTCATTCTGCAGTTCCTCCAATATATCTACCACGCTCTAACAGGAGAAGGAAAAAAAAAAAGGAAATCAGGAATGGGCCATGTCCTAGAATTATAGAAATCAAATGTATAAAAATGCTTTCCTTACCTGTCTGTTAAAAGCTTTAGCCATGTCCATTATGCTTATTCCATACTAAGGAAAAAAAGAGAGTTAACCCTCGTTCTGTAGCTTGCGCAATAATATTTATTTCCATGTACTGTATATTACCTCGGTTTTTATATCGCATTTGGCTCCTTTTTCTATTAGTAAACGGACGAGATTCTCATGGTTATTTAATGCTGCAATCTACAAATCAATAGAAAAGAAATCAGAAGCAATGTATTTTGAAATGTCTTCGCTTAGATTTCCATTGATATACAAAAGGGGCTTACCAGGCACCATCACCACTACAGCACATTATATATGGCGGAGCTATCCTCTGATTTGCTGTCAAATTGCGTTTTGCCAAAGTTTGTAGTTTCTGGCAATAATGGCAGACAACAGTCAACAAAACCAAAATTTCTCACAGAGGAGGTTTATGGAATATGTAGTTCAGAACTCAATATGTAGTTCAGAACGGAAGTTACATTCTTTCAAATAAAAAATAAATAAATGTGTGAATGGACTCGTTGCTCAAACTGACAAAACTGTGGCTACTATCAGCTCATGGAGAGCTCTATTCTTGACTTTGTGATGGAGCTACAGCCACAACAGTGCATGAATGTGGTCACAATTCAAGCACTTACAGAGAAACTATGAAGATACATTTGATAGGATGTGCTGATATGCATAGTGTGTGCATAACGCGGAATCTTTCTTACTACGACTTAACGAAGAAATTTGAAGGAACCGTAACTCAGGATGCTACTGGTGGCATAAAAGACTATGGTTTGAGCAACATGGATGGAATCTATAAGTGCCATTTCATTTAACCGTATATTCACAACCTTATTTAAAGCATGCAAAAGCATATTGTGAGTTGTGTATGAAGTTCTAAAGCTGTAGTTATTAGGGAAACCACTGGTATGTTACCGCTGAATAACATCTTGACCCATAATTGCAATAAACCTTTACGAATATGTATGGAGGATGATTAAAATGGTATGAATACTTCTAATGTACAAAATATGGTCTAAAAATATATAAAATATATAATCTATACTTCAAAAAGCAGCTAAAATGCTTTAAACATAGCAAGGTACTTGATTTCTACCACACACTATCCAGTGTGACAATCCACAAATCAGCAACGGCATCTAAATTCTGGATTTCTGGCAACAATTAGATGTGTATTATATATTTGTTTATTGAAGTTGAAATCTTTTTATTATGTTGTTTTTTTGTTTCATATAGAGGTTACTTGGATAAAACTGTAGTTCATATTGCTTTCTCGGAATTAAGTTTATTTTATAATGCCTAAAATCTTTTTACTAGAGATTTCAGATGTATGAGAGTATGCCGGAGAATCTCTTCCTAAAGTAAAATGTGCATGCTCACTGGGTGGTCTTCTAACTTACAGGAATCACATAAACACTAAATAATATATTGCAAAACATCCATCAATCCTCCCCACATGTAAATCTCCAACTTCTGAATGGGCCTACCACAAAAATTAAAGGACAAGATTTAAAAAAAATTAAAAAATAAAATGAAAATATTTGGTATTGGGTAAAATAAATTACAGGAGCCTATTTTTATCTGCAGCAGGAAGGCAGGCATATTATTTTTAAGTTCTGAAAATGATACATTCAACCCTGTAGTTTTACTTCAGAAATAATATGCATTCCGAGGCGCAATAAATGCTGCAATACCAGTGGTTACGATCCGATGAAAAGAAAGAGGATACGGAGAGAAGAGATATCCATTTATAGGAACGTTGCAGAGTTAAACAGTTTGGAAGAGCAAAAAATAGTAAAATGAGTACCAGCGCTTCTTAAATAGAATTAGATCACAATATATCTGCTTTAAAATAATCATCTGCTATACATTCAAGCGATCCCTTAC